GTCCATCCTCCCTGGACTGACCTATCCCCTCCCTAACTCCCCACCTGAACTCACTTTTACTGGCTCCATCCCCGCCTCTTCGACCTGTTTGTTTCCTCTCCACCTATCCTCTCCTCTATCCATCTTCTATCCGCCTCCCACTCTCTCCCTATTTATTTCAGAACCCCCTTCCCCTCCCCCTTTTCTGATGAAGGGTCTGGATCCGAAACGTTAGCCTTCCTGCTCCTATGATGCTGCTTGGCCTGCTGTGTTCATCCAGCCCTGCACCTTGTTGTCTCGACTCGAAACGTCAGCTTTCCTGCTCCTCTGATGCTGCTTGGCCTGCTGTGTTCATCCAGCTCTACACCTTGTTATCTCTGTGTTTGTGACAATGTATATGTATATATTTTTGTGAATAAAGTATATATTTGAAATTAAAACCCACGCAATGGGCTGAACGGCCCCCTTAAATTGATTGTGAGGTTGTACTGGAGTGGGGGAGTAGATTATGTCAGTGCTTGGTTTGCCGCACAGAATGATGCTAACAGCGTTGGTTCAATCCCCACACCACCACGAAGGATTTTCCTGGTGAACCTCTTCCGTCACCTGAGGCACGGTGACCCTCAGGTAAAGCCCTCAATAGTCGTCTCTCTGAGAAGAAAGCAGCTCTGCGGTCCGGTCGAACTACGATGACTTTACATCGTAGTGTAACCTTGTATCGAACAGGCGTGTTAAGAATGGGCTACGCGGAGGACAGAAAACGGTCCACATGCATCAATTTCTCTGACTCAGTGAGTGCGGGAGGGAGGACGCAAATTCAGAGACGGGGCGAGGTGAGGGATTTGAACCACTGATCTCTGTCGTAAAGGCTGAGTTCGGGTTCCGTCTCCCGACGGATGTTTAAAAGTGAAACTACTGAAGATTTCGCTGGCCCTGCCCTGGGCCCGTCGTTTCTCTGCTCAAAAGAAAAGAAATGTGTTGAAAGAAAGAGAGAAAGGAAGGCAATTGATGCAGCAGCTAGTGAGTGAGTGTTGACTGATCAGTTGTAACATTAATAAGGGGTTACGATGGCTAATTGTTTCTCTTTTCCGGGCTGGCCGTCTCCTCTGTTCTGCTACAAAGGGCGGAATCAAGTCGGTGGCTATGTCCTGCACTGCAAAGGGGCATTTGTAAGACAGACTTTGAAAGCGGGTCAGGGTTTCTGGGGGCTCAGGACCATCTTTGACACAGACCCCTTTGTCGCCCCACCCGACCCAGCCCAGCTCAGCCCAGAAACTGTCGGGTCGCATCACTCCGCCTATATTTAACTTAACCTTGCCCCGAAAGCCAAAACAGCTTTCAGACTAGTTGATAAAAGGGTCTGAGATTCTCAATTCGCTGGTCCTAATTCCTAAAGAGGAAACACAAAAAAAAGGACTTGCATTTCTATAACGCCGGCAGATTTCCCAAAGTGCTTTACAATCCACGAAGTGTTGGTGTGTAGCTCGCTATAATGTAAAACAGCAGCCATATATCTCCCAATAAATACAAGGACAAGATTACCCGTCTTCAGTGTTGTTGGACCTCAGCGATGAATATTAGCCGAGGACGTTGGCCAAAAACTCTGTCACGTTGTCCCCTCTGTTGGGCGTGAGTGGCCAGCGGTAGATAGCGGGCAGCGAGCGAGGTTCAAAACAGCCGTCAGCGCATCTGAACCCAAACCAGTGGAATTCGCCCCCTTCAACGCATTCATTATTCTGTTGCTCCTCACTTGCATCAAGTCCTTTTCCTCTTGAGGCCACTAACCTACATCATTTTAAAATCCACTCCCTTATTTTCAAATCCTTCCCTGCCTCTCTCTACCAACCCCACAATCCATCGAGATATCTACAATTCTGGCCTGAATAGAATCCCTATAGTGTGGAAACAGGCCCCTTTAGCCCAACAAGTCCACACTGACCCTCAGAGCATCCACCCAGACCAATCCCCCAGAAAACCCACCTTACCTACATGCAATTTAGTGCAGCCACTCCACCAAGCCTGCACAACTTTGGACTGTGGGAGGAAACCTGAGCACCCAGAGGGTGCCCACACAGGCACAGGGAGAATATGGAAACTCCATACAGTCACCCAAGTTTGGAATCGAACCCGGGTCTCTGGCACCATGAGGGAGCAGTGCTAACCACTGAGCCACCGTGCTGTACCTGCTGAATGTTCCTGATTTTAATCAGTTAAGTTTACAGTCTTGGGGGAGACCATTCAGCCTATCATGCCAATACTGGTGGATAAGGAGGCATCAATACTATCCCACCTTCCTGGCCTTTGATTGTGTGCCACTGCACTTCAAATGCGTGTCTGAGTATTTTTGAGTGTGATGAAGGTTTCTACCTCCACCAGTGAGTTCCAGTACGACCTCCACATTCTGGGTACAAATGTCTTTCCTTAAATCCCGATACCACCCCCCAAATCTCCTGTCTCTCACCCTAAATCTGTGCCCCCAGTTATGGACTCTCACTCATGGGGTGACGTTTTTCAAATCCACTCAATTTAAACCCCTCATTATTATACACAGCAACCAAATCTGCCCCCAGACTCCTTTGTCCCAAAGTAAATGGCTCCAACAGGCCCACACTTCCTCATTGTGAAAATTCTTCAATTTAGGCAATGTGCTCATAAATCTCCTCTATCCCTTTTCTAGTGTCATCACATCTTCCCTATTTTGTGGTGACTCGAACTGCAGACAGTGCTGTGGCCTAATTGGTGTTTTATACTCAGAGATAGTAAGAACTGCAGATGCTGGAGTCAGAGATAACACAGTGTAGAGCTGGAGGAACACAGCAGACCAGGCAGCATCAGAGGAGCAGCAAAGTTAACATTTCAGGTCAGGACCCTTCTTGAGAAATGGGGAGGGGGAAGGGCAGCTGGGAAATAAATAGAGAGGAGGGGTGAGGCTGGGGAAGGTAGGTGGGATGGTGATAGGTGAGTGCAGGTAGGCAGTGGTGGGAATTGGTCGGTGAGGTTGGAGGGGTGAATAGGTGGGAGAGATGATGGATAGATTGTGTCAGGTCAAGAAGGTGGGGTTGAGAGGGAGGATTGGACATGGCATGAGGCCAGGGCTGGGGAAATTTTAAAGCTGGTGAATTCCATGTTTAGGCCATCGGACTGTAGGCCCCCGAGGCGGAATATGAGGTGCTCCACTTTGTAGGTGGTGTCATTGTGACACTGGAGGAGGCCCAGGAGGGACATGTCACCCAAGGAGTGGGAGTGGGAGTGGGAGCTAAAATGGTTTGTGACCGGAAGGTGTTGTCATTTTAGCATTGCCTCTCTGCTGATATAAGCTCAACTTCAGCTAAGAAGAGCAAGTGTCCCATGCGAATTCTAGGCTGGGCCTTCAGCTGCCTAGGCCCTCAGCTCAGGAATTTCATCCCTGCACCACACTACCTCATTTTTTTCCCTTTAAAATATTCCTTTCTTTTTTGGGGACTGTGGCAATTTGACTTTTAATTCTTTGATGAAGGTAGAGTGGTGGATATTGTCTCTATGGACTTTAGTAAGGTGCTCGACAAGGTTCCGCATGGTAGACTGGTTAGAAAGTTTAGGACACATGAATCTGTGAAGGAGTTTTGTGTTGAATCTTGATGAAATCTCTTGTCTTTCAGGGCTGGCAAGGACAGGCTTTGGGGCTTCGCTGAAAGTGTTTGGGAGCATGGAGCATGCGGCCCTGTGTCTGATTCTCCTCCTGAGGATCCATTCTACACTAGCAGGTAAGACTACCTCAGTGCCTCACTTCATACTGACACATGAGCTCATCTTCAAACAGGCCAATTGCCTTCATTTACGATCCCTGTAGAGAACAAGAAACTTAAAAAGAGACCCTAATTTCTCAGCAAGCCTTATGAGGAATTGCACCATGGGCTTTCACATTTTAAGAGGTTTATTGCCAGAAACAAACTAAAATCAGCATTGACTAAACATTTTGATGCAGTTCTGCCAACACTACAGGTTCAATTCCAGCACTAACTGAGGTCACCATCAAGGTCCTGTCTTCTCATCTTCGCCCCTTACCTAAGGTGTGGTGATTCTCAGGTTTTAACTCACAGCAGGTCTCTCTCTCTCTCTCTACTGAGAGAGTGGCTCTGTCGTCCTCAGGGACTATGGCAATTTTACCTTTTACTTAGCTTCCAACTAATGTGCTGAACTACCGAATGTATTCCCTATTAACTTCCTCAAACATGTTTCACCTTTGTAAGATGTTTTCCATGTGAAAGTCCTCAAGCTGTGCTGGCTTTAACAAGCTGTCTTCTGTGGATCCCCAGGAGCATGTACTTACAGGGTGTCCCTGAGAAGCGAGTCAGTATTTACAGTGGTCCCTGGGGACTGTGTCAGTATTATATGGGGGTGGCGGGTTCTAGGGAGTGTGTCAGTACTTACATAGGGCGTCTATGGGGTCTGTGTCTGTATTTATAAGGTGTCCTCAGGTATCCATGTCTTACCCTGCAGTGCTGTCTCTCCCATTCTGCGTTCTAATCCCAGCAAAGCCTCTGAGACTGCGAGGAGATTGTTTTGAGAGTGTAGGATATTAGTGTTGAAATCTCTTGTCTTTCAGTGCCTGCACAAATAGGCTTCACACTACAGTCTCAAGGCACCTTCTGATGACTTGGTGTCTTTAATGCCTCACAATCCTCAATTCTTTGATCCTGTTTTCTATCATCATTGGCCCTCTGTTTGGTGGTTAAAGCAGATACAGTCCTGATCTACTGCCTGACTCAGCAACACCAGCTGGTAGTCTTCTTTCTCTTAAGCCTCTGTCTGACTCAGTCTGAGGGTTTGGGAATTGAGGCAGCAGCAAGGTAATGCTCCTTCTTCCATATATCCATATATTAGAACTTGCAATTTTGAAACCGTGCTCACATTCCTTTGAACTGTGGATTTCAACCCAGTGTTGTTGGGCTTAGAGACAAGAGGGAAAGGAATGGCAGATCGTGATGTGGTGAAACATCCCTAGGGACTTCACAGGACGGGGCATTCCTTCACTCAGAGGGTTGTCAATGTTTGATTCTCCCTACAGGCAGCTAGAAACACTCAGTCCTTAAGTATATTCAAGACAGAAGATTTGTGGTCTCTTAGAGAATGAAGGGATAGAACAGGATAGTGGAGTTGAGGTTTGAGGGACCGAATGACCTCCTCCTACTCCTATTTCTCTTTATCCCATGAGCATTATTAGCCAGAATTTGAAACCAAGCCCCAACAAGAGAAATAATCTAAAATCTCATCAAAGAGGTCGGGAATTTATGGAGCATCTTCAATAAGGAAAGAGAGAGGGTTGGGATGAGTGCTTTTATCATTTTTCAATGGACGTCTCAAATGTTAATTCTGATATCTCTCTGTGAACCTTCTCTGTGGCTGTAATACTGTATTCTGCACTCCATTCTGCTACCCTGATGCTCTTTGCATGGTTAGATCTGCCTGTATAGCATGCAAAATAGTGCTTTTCACTGTATCTCGGTACGTGACAAGAAAAATCAATCAATCAATCATAGATTCCCCACAGGGTGGGGAGGGGATTTCCAGGTTTTGGGCCTCAGTAGCTGAAGGTACAACTGCCAACAATGGAAAGATGCAATTCAGGGAATGGGAAGAAACCAGAGTGCAGTGATTCTGGTGCATCACAAACTGAATGCTACTGTGTCTCCTACATTACAACAGTGACTGCACTTGGTAAACCACTTTGTCAGCAGCAAAACCATTGGGATATGCTGAGGTCAAAAGAGGTGCTATGTCAATGCACTTTATTTAAAAAAAAACTGTGACAATGCTGTGGCTATAAGAGATGTGTTTTGTCCTTGTTTCATTTGCAGAGAGAGAGAGAGAGACTGGCGGGGGAGGGGGGTGGCAGGTGCTGAGCAACTATGAGAAGGTAAACAACTTGTGAAGCCTCAGGTACTTTTTAAATGTTAGAACAATAGGAACAGCCTGAGTGGGTGTGGTCAAGCTCCCACCCACTGGGCTAGGGATCTGAGTTTTTAGTTTTCAGCAGCAATTGCTATTGGGGTCTTGAAGAAGTGGAAGCTATTTTCTCCCACTCTCGATACAGCCAGAGGCTGGGTTTTCTCTTCCTGGGCTGCTGGATTGCATGTGAGACAAAATTTTTCTAAATTTGTCTTTTGCCAAGGATGTGTTTATGGGATGTCACTATATTGGAGCATTTAATTGGTAACAGCTATTGCATTTATTGTTCTGCTAAGTTTTCCAAGAGAGTTAAGTTATTTCAAGTCCTCCTTTCTTTTGTTGAATTTTAACTGAAGCGTTTGAATAAATTGTGTTTTTCTGAATATTGATTAGTTTCACCAAACAAATGGTATCTGGAACACGGCAGTCGCATTTGCCTTTAAAATAAGAAAACATTAGGGTCGAGGCTACCTTCTTAATATATTTAGAGGGAGCCTGGCCTGGTCTGTAACAAAACACAACATTTGTATTGCTTTTGCTTTTTTGAATGAGTGGTTTGACCACTTCTCCCTTCTCCCCAAATCTCTCCAGATGTGTTCCGAGTCACTGGCCCGGAAGCTCCAGTCATTGCTATGGTCGGTGGGGTGGCAGTGTTGCAATGCCAGCTGATACCAGACAAACCTTCAGTGGGCATGGAGATACAGTGGGGTCGCAGCTACTTGGAGCAGTACACACCCATCCACAGCTACATCGTTGGGAAGGATATAGAGGAGCAGCCGGCTCCGGCATACCAGGGCAGGACAGAGTTCTATAAGGAGGAGTTCAACCAGGGGAACATCTCACTCAGACTGCGAGATGTCCGGCTGGAGGATGAAGGCGACTACCTCTGCATGGTCGAGTTTAAGGGATTCATCGAGCAGGCACCCTTGAAGCTGAAGGCCGCCAGTAAGTCCCTGTAGGAACGTCTGTCCACAGGATCGACACCTCCGCTCAGTCACCCTCTCCCCTCACTCTCTACGTGCTTCTCACCGTCCTCCTCCATTCCTCCCATTCATCTTCCATTCCCTCACTCCGTCCTCCAATCCTCTCAAAACTGCCTTCCCCTCATATCTCACTCTGCTCCTCCACCACACCTCACAATCATCCCTCCACTCACCCCTCTCTTGCCTCTTCTGCTTACCCCTCTCTTGCCCCCTCCGTTCCCCTCTCTTGCCCCCTCCACTCCCCTCCCTTCCCGTGCCTCCACTCCTCTCTCTTCCCGCGCCTCCACTCCTATCTCTTCCCACGCCTCCAATCCCCTCTCTTTTCTCCGTCTACTCCCCTCTCTTCCCATGCCTCCACTCCCCTCTCTTTCTCTCCCTCTACTTCCCTCTCCTTCCCCCTTCCACTCCCCTTTCTTCCCCCTCTACTCTCCTC